TCTCTCTCTCTCTCTCTCTCTCTCTCTCTCTTAAAAAAACACCAGAATATATCATCCAGTTTAATATCATATTCGGACATATCCATGAATATCATGTCTTAAAAATGACAGCAGCATAACAGCAGAAAAGAAGTTACACTATTTCACATCTGCTTGGAAGAAAAATGAAAACTACAAATATATTTACCAACACTCCAGCTGGTTAATCACAATACATACACCATGTATTCATTTTATTTTTATATATGGTTACGTTCTCACACTTGAAGAGAGAAGATAGAATAGCGCATACAGGGCGAGAAGGAGAGAGAGAGAGATGGGGGGGGAGGGGAAGAGAGAGAGAGAGAGAAAGAGAGAGGGAGGGAGGGCGAGCGTGAGAGAGGGCGGAAAGGGGAAGACAGAGACAGAGAGAGAATGAGAGGACCTACGAGAGAGAGAGAAAGAAAGAGAAAGAGAGAGAGAAAGAAAGAGAAAGAGAGAGAGAGAGTAAGAAAGAGAAAGAGAGACAGAGAGAAAGAGAGAGAGAAAGAGATAGATAGACAGACAGAGAGAGGGAGGGAGGGAGAGGGTGAGAGAGGGCGGAAAGGGGAAGACAGAGACAGAGAGAGAATGAGAGGACCTACGAGAGAGAGAGAAAGAAGAAAGAGGACAGACACAGAGAAGGATTATTCAGTCCATTGTTTCTAAAGTCCAAAACAGTTTACAAATCTCTAGAGAAATATGTACAAAATTCCACCAGAAAAGTATTTCGGGATCAAAATATTTAAAAAGAATACAAGAAACTTAATAAAGACGAAAAAAAAACTTATTGCTACAAAGAAGCATCATGCCGTAAAATACACATTCTTACTAATCAAAAACACTTCAATTTAAGAGCAAACAATTACAAACAAAACATTCTACCACATGATGCTTACCTTTTCTTTATTACAATCCATATATTTTATCACAGAAACGAAGTATATAGGTTTAAGAATATCTAAGAAAAAAAACATTATAAAGATTTGTCGAATTAACATTATAAAACAGAATATTAAATCCGTGTCATTAATTATCCACAGGGAGAGGCTTAAGAATATAATTTTAAAGAATAACCTAAACACGAATTATATAAAAGTATGGATAATATGGTTCTAGAATATGTGTTTATAGAAAATAGAAGATGCAGAAAAACTAATATTATAGGGTTAGAGTTAGTATATACACATATATACATGTAGTTCGTCAGTGTCTTGTAAACTGCACTGGTAAGCTACTGTTTACCTCTTTTGCTTCCTGTATTTTTTGACAGATATACTTTTTTATGAAACATTTTAGCAATAATACAAGCATTGTTGATATACCAGACGATCTCAGTATCACTTTTATATATTTTGGGAATCTAAAACAGCTGATATAAAGCAAGAATTATTTTTATCTGTCAATTTTTATGGTACATATATTTTTTGTCATAAATTAAGCACTTTAACAATAAAAATGCTCATTTATTGAACAATCTCAATATGCTTTTCATATAGCAAAAAGCTGTTTAAGAATTTAACAACTCTATTTAAAGAATAATTGCAGAGCATGATTATTTATTT